ACGGGACCCAGAAAACATGCATGCGAAGACAGCGCCCGAGAGTTAGGGCGGCTAGTTCACGAAGGACATTCCGAAGCTGAATGGCCGCAGAGCGGCTCGCGCCCACCGCCAGGGCGAGCCCCGCGTTGTCGACTAGGGCGAGAACTCGATGACCGAAAGCCCGACGGCCCCGAAGCGCATGCCGCAAAGCATTCGAAAGGGCGAGCCCCTCGAGACGCAGGATGTTCGCTGGGCCCCGCCATGGAAAGGACTCCGCGACGTGCCGGGCCTCGTGGTCGGTGAAGCTCGCCTCGATCATGTCGCATGATTTCTTGAACTCGTCGGCCTTCTGAAGGCTGTCAGGAACATCCTCTGCGCGGGCTGCCTCGGCAGACTCGGCGGCGGAGGCGCGGCTTCTGGCCGCGGCGGCGCCCTACTTGTAGCGCCGCTGCTCCGCTGCGCGGCCCCGCCAGGCGATCGGCCCCGGGCCCGCCCGGCGCGCGCGTGCGCCGCGGCCCCATGGCGAGGCGCCACTGGCCGTCACGGAGGGCAGCGGCGCGGGCCGCGAATCGTGGGGGCGCGTCCCTGACCAACTACAGCCCCTGAGCCATTGTATCCCAGAGAGGAGCGACCTGCCGCCTGCGCGCCCTCGCGGAAGCGTAGACCGAGCTGAAGATGGACAGGGTTGACCGCCGCAGCAGCATCAGCCACGTAGCGCGACCCAGCATCACCTCCAAGACGCCACCCGAAGAACGCCATCGCTTCAGGAGCTCCTCGGCGGCAAGCGGGAGGCGCCAGGTGCGACGGGTCGAAGCGCGCACTGCGCGCGCGCAGCCGTCAAGAGAGAGCCCGGCGAAGTCGGCGCGGCCGACCGCCTCGGAGGCGGCCTCGCGCGCGGAGAAGCCCTGGCGCTCGGGGCTGGAGGCGGCGCGCTGCCCCGCGGTGGTGACGTACTCCTTCGGAGCGCCCTGGACCGTGAAGTCGTCGACGTAGCCGCGACGTAGCCTGCCGCGCCCAGGGGCTTCCGGGGCCCGAGCGGGCGCGAGGCCGCGCGGTCCTTGACCGAGGCGCCCGACCCCAGCCCGCCGCGCGCGAGGCCCTCCTCCGCGACCAGCTGGCAGAGGTGCAGGGCCCAGCTCCGGCCCATCGGCAGAACCGCCAGGATGGGCGCGGGAGAAGCCGCGGCCGCAGACCGCGCGCCGTTCACCAGCGGCTGCCCTACCAGCCCTGCGCGAACGGGCGGCAGGCGGAAGCGCGGCCCGAGCTCGCGCGGCACGGAGATGGCGTTGAAAGCGTTCTGCACGTCGCCCACGGAGCATCAGACCACGCCGCGCTCGCTGGCCCCCATCCTCGAGAAAGCCGAGGCGGAGGGCAAGTGCGTGGGCGGCGGCGGCTCGGAGTCACAGTTGGCGAACCGACAATCAAAGATGATCCGATGCTGGCCGGACTTCTTCTCGGCGAAGGAGAGCCCGACGGTGGCCTCGGCCAGAGTAGGCGCGAGGCGCACCACCCCGCGCCACAGCATCCCCCGGGCGAAATCAGCGTAGACGCGCCGGCGGCCGAAGGCGGGGCCCACGTAAGGCTTGCGGAGACCGAGCTCAGACCGAAAGGCCGCCGCTGCAGCCGGAGGTCGTCGCGTCTTGGCCGTCGACCCCCTCGGCCACGGCGTGCTCGATCGAGAGAGCGATCGCCGGGTCAGCTGGAACTGCCCCCGCGGCTGGCCAGGACACGAGGCCCTTGCTGTAGGGCACGACGGCGGCGGAGGTCTCGCCGCGCATCGCGGCGGAGCCGCAGAGCTCACGAAGGCCCCCGCGGGGGTGAACGTCGGCGGGGCGGACTCCAGCCGCCGCGTAGCCGCGCTCGAGGCAGGACTGCTGCGCGGCCGAAGGAGGCCCGACCGAATCGCCACCGCGACCCGAGAGAAAGCTCAGAGAGCGGATGCCCTCGATATCCCATTCAAGAGCGTGAAGGCGACGGGGCGCACGGCGATCGACAGCTCGAGAGCGGCCACCTCCGCGATGAGGAAGGGAAAGAGCAGGCAGCGGGAACACGCCGTGCCCGCGACTCACCCCGCGGCAGCCGACAAGAGATAAGCCTGCCAGCCCGGGGCCAAGGAGCGGCAGGCAGCCGAAACCGTGGAGGAGCGGCCGAAGGCTACTCGCCATCCTTCCCGCCCTTGGCCCCCTTCTTGGGACGGGCCAACGCGCGCTCCTCTCTTGCCTTCCTCCGTTCTTTGGCGATGGCGTTCTCGCGGGAGATATGCTCACTGGTCCAAACGCTCAGCTCCGGCGCCGCCATCGGACCTCGGGCGGTGGCCATGCCAGCGAAGTAATAATGTTCCCCCCGATGAGCCTCGTCGCAAAGTGTCGTGCCCGGGTTCTTGTCGCGGTGGCGCCCCTCGCGCAACTGCAACTGCCACGCCGCCAGTTCCAGAGCCCCGATGCTGCTGATGTCCAGCTGATCGCAACGCAGCGCCGTCTCGAATATCTTGCTGAACTCCTGATGCGTGGACGCGGTGATGTCGTCCAGCGCGAGCCTGATGTTGGACCGCCACTGCGCATGATGGGCCAGGGCACCGCCGCCGCTCTCCAGCATGAAGCGCGCCACCCAGGCCACGGCCCGCGGCCCGGGCACGGGCCCATCGGCCCACTGAGAGGGAGCCGGGATGGCGACCGCATCTGCGAACGACCTGCGACGCTGACCATTCGCGTCGCAGAGGACCGTCAGCGTTCGGAAATCCGACGCGCCCAAGATCCCACCAGCTGTGGGTCCACGGGCGCCGCGGGCCCTGCGCCAGCTGCCGCTCCGTCGCCGATCGCAGCCGCCGCCGCATGGGGGCCCGCGGCCGCCGCGGCGGCGCCAGCCGCCGGGCCGCCCGCTGCGGCTGGGGCAGCGCCAGCGGGCACCACGGCGCCCGCGCCGCCTCCCGCCAATGCCCCGCCGCCGCCTGCAGGAGCCGCGCCGCCTCCGCCCAAGAGAGCCGCCAAGCCTTCCCCCCGCCCACCAGCCACGCCGAGACCTCCGCCGCCAACTGCGCCAGCCAGAGCCCCTGGGACCGCCAAGGGCACACCTCCTCCGGCCCCGAGCTGAGCGTCGTGGGCCGCGATGAGGCGGTCGGCCCCCCGCGTGAAGCCAAAGAACTCTTTTGCCGTGCGCGCCGGCTGGACGTCGTAGATCGCTTGGCCCGCTGCAGCAGCCGGAACCGCTCCGCCAGGACCGCAAAAGGTGCCACGCGGCGATGTCCGTGTTGTCGGCCGTGAGATGTTCGATGAACAGGTCGTGGCCCGGCGAGACCACTGCGGCGTGAAGCGGCTGCACGGTGCTGACACGCACCACCACGCGACTGCGACGGTGAAGCAGCACAGCGCCTGGCTCGTCATAAGCCATCAGCACCTCATCGCCGATGTTCATCCGGCGTCAGCACCTGCCCACGTCCGCGAGGTACTCGTCGATCCCGCGCGTCCTCCAGAGCTGGCCGCGGGCCAACTTCCGAAAAAGGTCCCCGCAAGACGCTTCAGAGGCCGCTGATGAGGCGGCCCGCCAGGCGGAGAGCTGCGGCCACGCCAGTGGTGAGCACCTCCCAAACGAGGAATGCGAGCAGCCCGAAGCCCAGATCGCCGCCCCAGGTCAGTCGCCCTGACTCCAGCTCGGGGCACGACGGACAGGGATCAGGGCACAGGTCCCGCGCGGGAAGGGTCGGCGCTGGCGACCACCGAGCGAGCGCCGCGCAGAAGTCCTCGACCTGCGCGATGGGCGCCGGCGCGGCCGCCGGACAGCTCCGCGCTGGCGGGGCGGGGGCGGGCGCTGGCCGCAGCGCCTCTGGGATGGCCCGCGCAGCCGACAGCGGGCGGGCGGGCGCCCCACAGACGCCCCAGCCAGGCCGCGCAGGCGTGGAACGCGACGAGCGTCACGCCTCGGACCACGGGACGCATGCACGGGGCCCAGCGCGGCCCACCTGAGGCCTCCACAGACGAGGCTTGAGCCGTGGCAGTTGCAGATATCGCAAGTTCGCAACCGCAAGGCCCTCCCACGTTCTACGATTGAAGTTCAAGGGCCTTCCATGCTGATTCTAAGGGTGATGCAATGATGATTATGCTGATGAAGATCATGATGATGATGATGATGATGATAATGATGATGATGATGATGATGGTAATGATGACGATGATGATGATAATGATGATGATGATGATGATGATGATGATGATGATGATGATGATGATGATGATGATTATGATGATGATTATGATGATGATGATGATTACGATTATGATGGTGATGGTGATGGTGATGGTGATGGTGATGGTGATGGTGATGGTGATGATGATGATGATGATGATGATGATGATGATGATGATGATGATGATGATTACGATGACGATGCCGATGCCGATGACGAACATGACGACGACGGTGCCGACGACGACGACGACAACGAGCACGACGACGACGACGCCAACGTCGACGACGACGACGCCGACGCCGACGCCGGCGCCGGCGCCCACGCCGACGACGATGACGACGACGACGGCGGCGGCGGCGGCGACAGCGGACAAAGGACGATGGGGCGGCGGCAGCGGCGACGACGACGACGGGGGACGACGGCGGCGACGACAATGGCGCCGACGACGAGGGGGTCCACTCTTCCGAGCCCCTCTGGAGGCCACTTTCGGGGATAATGAGACCCCAGAACTTCCGACGCCGATTTCTGATTCCGCTAGACACAAATATCTCGACACGTTCCGTGAGACTGGGTTTTCGCCTGGGGCCGTTACCTGATGGCCCCTGGGCCCGAGAACGGCCCCTGGATACCGAAGCTCTTCGAACCTGGACGACGACGACGACGACGTCGACGACGACGACGACGAGGGACGACGACGACAACGACGGCGGCGGCGGTGGCGACTACAACGGCGGCGCAAGCGGCGACGGCGGCGACGGCGACGACGGCCGCGGCAAAGGCGGCGGCGGCGACGGCGACTTCGGCGACGGCGAGCCCACCCGCGGGCGCAGGAATCGTCCCGTGGGTCGCTCGGCAACGGCGCGCGCATCTCGCGCTCGCGTCGCCTCCGCCGTTCGCAGTCCTCGGGGCGGGGGCAATCAGAGGCGGCCCTCCGCACAGACAGTCACCGATGCCTGGCCAGGCCAGTCCAGGGGCCCAGAGGGCGGCGTGTGCATACCCATCCCCGGCCGAGCAAGCACGGCGTGGGCGCCGACCATGGGCACGGGATGCGCCTGGCTGGGGTCGGCGCAGCGGCGAGCGGCCTTTGGGCGAGGAGCCCTCCGGGGGAATGGTTATTTCGGGGGAGAGGAGGGGAGGGGGCAGCCGGGAGGAGGGAAGCATTCCTGAAGAGGCCCAAGCGCCCAAAAGTTCCCCCCCAGGGACAGGTGCCCCCAGCGGGGCGTCGCAGGGGCAGCGGTTCCAGCCCCCTGCCCCATTGGGTGTGCCGTTCGGGGAGCCTCCCCAGAACACAGAGCAACGGTTGAGCAACGAAAGTGGTTTCACGCGCTAGGACGCGCGACCTTGAGTGATGGCTTACGCAAGGCCGCCCAAGACGCAACACCGCGTGGCTAGCGGGATCGCGTTCCGCGCGACTCGCGACCTTCTGCGAGCGGCTTACGTGCGAATGCCCTGGCGCTCGACCCTGTTTTTTTTGTCACGTCGCTAAATTGGCGATCTCAAATATGTGCTGTACGATAGCTATTGCTCTGCAGCCTGGTCGTGCGAGCACAAGCAAGCTCTTGCCAGCACGCGCTCATAGGGAAGACGACGAGAGGGGACAGGACAGTAAAGGAGGGAAAGGCCAGCATCGTGATCGCCGAGGGGCAGCAGGGCGGGGGGGAGCGAGTCATCTGCACGCAGTTGGAGTCTCGGTCGCCTCGAGGCGCCCAGAGCGACCGAGCATCGAGGAGGCGCATGGCACCAGAGCCGAAACAAGCTACACGCAGCATGTTTCGAAGCCCACGTCTTCCAACCTCCACCCCGTTCTAACAAGGGCTGTCTCTACCCCAATCCCCATCTTTGGGGAATCCTCTTCTATGCTGCCTTGTTGCTGTTGGGCGGAACCCCGGAGGATCTGGGGGGGGGCAGAAATCCTCTGCGACGTTCGTCCACCCCGACCCCCCTGGGGTCACGACGCGCAGCCTTGCCCTGGAGGGACGGGGGATCGAGCTTTGGTTGAGCGTCGCCGGCCCCCCCTGCTGGGCCCTCCTCGGGGCCTGAGGGACATCCGCGCCTCCGCGGGACCTCGGGAGGGGTCCAGAACTGGGATATGTGGCCGATCATGGAGCGTCCTTGTGGCCCCCTTTTGTGGCTCGGGAGCGCCGCCGTTGCCACGGCTGGACTCCCCTGGAAAGTCCCGTCAGAACGCACCCAAGGACACCGGAGTCGTCGGGAGTCCCGGCGGCTTTGAGGGAGGAGGAGAAGGAGGAGGCGGAGGAGGTTGCCGGCGCGCTCGAGGGGGTGGGGCGGGCGGGGGCCTTCTATGAAGGCGGGCGATCTCTCAAAGGGCTCGGATTGGGACGGCTGACATGGGAAGAAACCATGGGGACGACGCCCCCACCGGCAAGCGTCGTCCAAAACCGACCGCCGTTTGGCAGTAGACGTTCGTTCCACATGAATGACGTTCGCGCCGACACCGACAACGAATGCTGTTCAAGACAAGCAGGCACTGCTGTCGGCCGGCGTGTCCATTGATTCTGCCCCCCGTTTCGGCCCTCTTAGTCGACATGTCCCGGCTGGCCCCATGGAGAGCGGGATGGCCTCTGACCCAGACATCCGACGTCGTGATTGTATCACAACCGGACTCCCACCTTCTAGCCCAGCCAACTGATAGAACATACGGTTCGTTACTTTGTGAGTAACGTAATTGAACACTTACTCGCATCACGACAGCATAACACCTCCAGGACAAAATACTCCTGAAAAAACAGATGACTGTTCAAAACCAGCCAGGCCAAAAATCCATCACGTTTTGTCTGGGGTCTCACTCTATTTCGTTTTGGGTCCGCACAAATTGCGCGAATTGTCATCGTGTGTCATGGGTTGGTTCTGTTACGGTTTCACGATCCGTGTCGGTTTCGTGTCCCGATTCTGTCACGGTTTCGCTTCGTGATGGGAAGGAGGAAGGAGAAGGGAAGGATAGGGGGGTGGGAGGAAGGTAAAGGAGGTGGAGGAATGAACGAGGGAAGGGCACGACGGAAAACACAAGCCTACGCCCACCTCCTTCCTCCCAAGCAGAGAGCGCGGGGGGGGATCTCCAATTGCTCCACAATTGCACAATATGAATACTACTCTCCTTTCTCCCCTGATGACGTCCGGAAGATATCCGGCCCTCCTCCGCGTATGATTTTTTACACACAAAACTCCTGGGAACTGGGTTTTCGCTTGGGTTTTGTTTTGAAACGCTGCTCCCGCGGAGGCGCTGGCCTCATTTTCTGGCTTCCGCTCATTACGATTCACGCTCCCGCTGCAGCGCCGGCCTCATTTCCGCGATTCCGCTCGTTCCGAATCGTGTTCCTGCTGCAGCGCTGGCGTCATTATTTCCAGTGCCATGCCACGGTCCTTCCTAGGCCATGAAAGGAGGGCGTGACTGGTCAAGCTCAGCCTTTTTTGGTCGATGTTGGACGCCATCGATGCAGGAGTTGCTGCCGGCCCTGGTTAGAAAGCATCATGCCTCCCTGGTCCTCGTCCGTCGTCAGTTGCCTCCCTCACCCTCTTCTCTACCTCCCGTTGTTTCGATGACTCTGGGAGGAATGCACGTGTTGTGAAAAGTCTGCAAGGCCAGTGCAACCAAATCGCGTCAAGCTGAATGCTTCCAGGTAACTATCGATTGCAACGAGATCCTCCGGTGTGCCCCCCCAAGCACATTTGCACATACTGGGGGATGGGTGGATCAGTCTCATAGGGTTAAATCGCATAAGCGATTGTGCTGCACATCGTGCGGTTGCTTTGCTTCCTCTTTGCTGCACGAACTATGCAATATGAGCACCCATCGAATCACCCCCACTCGAGCAGAGTATCTCGGAAGAGTTTCTCGTGGTCTGTGGCCTACCAGAAAACGGAGCCGTGGTCGTATGTAGTCGTGCCTCATGTGCAATTCGTCCCGTTGTGTAGGCACTCATTGACTCTGTCATATAGTCATGCACATACTCATACTTCTTCACCTTCCTCCTCCTCCTCCTCCGCTTCTTCCTCCTTTTCCTCCTCCGCCTCGTCTACTCCTCCTCCTCCTCCTCCTCCTCCTCCTCCCCCCCCTCCCTCCCCAAGGGGCCCTGAGACGAGGCCTCCACGAGCGTCCCCACCCAGGCTCCCAGCCGCGAGCCGGGGGGGGGGGGGGGGGCGACGGTCCTCGCAAAGGTCCACCGCACGCGAGAGGGCGCCGCCCGGGAGGATGACCCAGGGATGCCTCGCGGAAGGCCCAGATCCGCCCTGACATCGGATTTCCCCTGACACGCAACACTGCCAAAAACTCCCAGCACTCGTCGCTCCTCCTCCTCCTCCTTCTTCGTCTCCTCCTCCGCCTCCTCCTCATCCTCCTCATCAACCAGCCCCTCACCCCCTGCCCCTCTCCCAACCGATGCGGGTATCTGCAACTGCCCCCCCTAGCGACTTGAAAGTGCGGCTGCGGATGCAGCAGGAGGGGTAGCTCGCCCCTTCAACCGCAGTGAGAACGGTATGCCTCTACGTGCCCAGAAATTCCGACGTCGTGATTGGGGTTCGCAACGTGCCTCCCCCAAGGCCTGATTACATTCCCGGGGACTGGCTTTGCTTCCTGAACTTTTTAACGGTCCTGGGGCGCGGGAGGGACCCCTGGAGACCGACTCGAGTTGTTCAATCATGTCACGATTTCTCGCGACACCAAGAAGTCAAGGGGAACCCCAGACCTTTTCGAATCGTAAAACATCACGCCGTATATGTTGTTTGAACCAATTGTCTGCCTCTGGGGGGGGCAGGCTGCTTGCCAAGCCCTGTGGCCGTCCTGAAAGAACTCGGCACGAAGAGCCGGTCCCCAGGAAAGGGTCCAGGCCCCTGGGGAACTATATTGTGAAACATTCGGGTCGTCGGATGACTCGGGGCGCGAAGGGGTGGCGGCGCGCACGAGGGGTTGAGCCGGGGAGGGAGACGGCCTTCTCTAAACTCTAAAGAATTCCGAGGCTTCTCAGAACGGTTCGGGGCTTCCTTCTACGGAAGGCCACTCGGGAAACAGACAGGAGGCCTCGAAAGCAGCCCCCACGCCTTCTTTGAAGGCCAGAACGTTAGGGGGGGGACCAGCCCATGAGAGGGGGAACATGGAGCTGAAATCGGCGGCACATCCCCGATAGATCGTCGACACCACCCCCCGACAGTGGAAGAACGCGTTCCTACACTTGGCCCCATCGGCGATGAATAGGCGATCGAGGGTGGATGCATCCCTCCTGAGCCTTTTCCCCCCCTAACCTTGCCCCTGAAGGGGTTCCCCAGCCCGAGGCTTCCAGAAGCCCGGCCCGGGGTGGGCCGCAGAATCCTCGGTTCGAACCTCGAGCTTCTTGGCGCCACGCCCGCCGAAATTCTGAGATCCCACGTGGGAGAAATCAAAAACAGCATCGCGAGATATCACCAAGATTCCTCAACTCCGGCTTTGGGTGACATCTATCGACCCGGCTCGGTTTTGATAATGGGCGAAAACGCCCTGGGTCAAACAAGTTCCAACGGCCCGGTGTCCTGGGGGGAACCGGCCTGCGCCAGGGGAACCCTGCAGGGCCGCGGGGCCCCGACGCGCACCGCTCTGGGACGACGGGTCTGGGGGTCTCGCCCAGCGGGGAGCTGGCCGGCCTCCAGGAGCGAAGGCGGGTGAAAAAGGGCACTCCACCACCGTGCCTGGCAAGGGCCATCCTGGACCCTTGCCAGGAAGTGGTGGTGTGCAGCAAATGCCACGGCCGTAGGCACGAGGGCCCCCGCCCCCGAGAAACGCCCCGCTCCCGCTCGGCGCAAGGCTGCCGTGGCTACGCCCGTTGGTTCACTGGCGCGCGCGCGCGCCTCAAGCACGACTCCAGCGGAAGCCGCTCGTGTGGGCCACGGCGCATCAGCCCGGAGATGAGGTCACGGGCTGCCTCGCCGTCGGGAGCCACGCCGTGGAAGCAAGAGCAGGAGAACATGGAGGATGAGGATATGTGTAGGGTCGAGCAGGTCGAGGAATGAAAGGGGAAGAAAAAGAGCAGATGGAAGAGGGAGGAGGATGAATTGGACGAGGAAGAAATTCGCCGGCCCAACGGGCCAGAGGCGTGATAAGATCTCCGGCAACTGGTTAACAATATTTCTAGTTCGCGCGCGCGGGGCGGCCCCTGGGGGTCCCCCGGCGAGAAGTATCCCGACCGCAGCCCGACCAGGTACTCAGAGATGGTTTTGAGTGCCTTTTTTCGACACCCCTCACGAGGATCGTGGCCTCCGAGGAGGGTGCACTCGACTACCCCGCCCCAAGAGGCGCCCAAGAGCAAGACGCCGCCAAGGAGCCCCCAAAAAAACCCAAGAGGCCCCCAAGAGGCCCCTAGGAGGCCCCAAAGAGGCCCCCAAGAGGCCCCATACAGCACTCGAAGGCCGGCGGAATGAGCAAAGCGATTCAATAATAATGATAGCAGACGAGGGAAGAGGCTGCCGGCGGCCACCGTGAATTAAAGATGGGAGGGAGATTCGTGCGAAAGACAAGGGGGAGGACGTGAAAAACGAGGGGGAGGAGGAGAAGGACCAGTGCAAACCCTCCCTCCAAAGTCCCTTTTCAGATGCCCTTACAACGGTTCATTTCCAAAGAGGGAACTAGCTCGTTGAAAAAGAGCCGTTTGAAGACCCGAAGCATGCCCAAACAGTGTTCTCGGGATTCCCACGCCACAAATCAACCTGATTGTTGCGTTTTGACGATCCTGAATCGTGCCAAAATGCCATTCCTGGGACGTCAACGCCGCGAACCAACGTAATTGCTGCACCCCCGAAATCCGAAACCTTCCAGAACACTATTTCTGCTACGCTGATCATGGAAGCCCGTGAAACGCTTGCAACATTTAGAAAATAATGCGCGCGTCGCTGGGGCGAGAACCACATTTGGAACAAGAGCCGCCCGTGGAACTCTTGAAACTCATTACAACGAATGTGCGCGGCGCCGCGGCGCTGACGCGAAAACCACATTTTGAAAACGAGCCGCGGGCCGCCCCCAAATCATCGACACCCTTGTATCTTAAAAAGAAACAAATGCACGCGGCGCTGAAGCGAAAACCACGTTTTGAAAACGGCCCGCCCACCATCTGCGAAACAGTTGCCAATGTTTAAGCTTCAGGGTCATAAGTGGTAAGGAGGTCTCAGGCGAAACGACCACCCCGCCCTAACAACTATCCTCGGGGCGCGACGGGGAGGAATTATTCAGAAGGAAAATGACTGGGGGAGGAGGAGGAGGATTATCATTCAGAAGCGATGCGCTTCCTGAAGGGGTGGAAAACCCCTGGTGGATGGCCTTGGCCAAACATCCACCTCTGAGGGCCAAGCGGCCCGCAATGACCGTCAAGGCGTTTCTGCTTCGGGCGCGATGCACACGCGGGGGGCTCTACTTCTGATGTGGCGGAGAAAGTGCGGCGCACAAATTCCGTGGCAAATGACCCGCCGTCGTCGGCGCCTGCCGTGTTCCTATTTATGGCCGGGGCAATTCGGCGGCGGTTTACTTAAGCCGCCGTGCGTGCCGCAGCAAAGCCTAGAAACCACGGGAAGGGAGGGGAGGGAGATGCCGCCGCGTTCCTGCCCATGGCAGGGGTCGCCCAGTGGCAATTTACGCTGCCACGCGCGTCTCGGCGCAATCTAGAAAGCGGTGCAAAATGATTTGGCCGGAGGCGTTGCCGCGATCCTGCTCGCGGCACAGGCTGCTCGGTGGCGGCGGGCGCCACCGCGCGCGCCTCGGCGTGTACTAGACGGGGCGAGAGAAGGATAGGACGGGAGGTGCTGCCGCCGACCTGCTCATGGCAGGGGCAAGGCGGCGGTTTTGGCCGCCGTGTTCGCCTCTGTGCAACCTAGAAGCATGAGCGGGAATGGGATGCGCGATGCTGCCGGGCTCCAGCTCATTGCAGGGGCAGCTCGATGTCGGCTTGCACCGCCGCGCACGCCTCGGCGCCACCTAGAGTTGTAGTTCTTTTGCCCAAAACGAGGCCGCCCCGAAAAGGCCCCGGACGCGAGTCCAGGCCCCCGAGTCCACGGGCAGCCCGGTGACTCTCAGAGTGGGGGGGGCCCTGGGCTCGCCTCGGGCCCCGGTCAGAGGGTACAGAGGCCGCTCTTAGGCCGCCGACGGCGTCTTGTAAGCAGTCTCAAAACAGTTTTGGGCGGTCTTCGGAGCCTCTGAGGCCGCCGCGGGGCAGAATTCGGCCGCGCTGGGCGCCCAGCGGCCATGGCGCTAATTCCTGCTTGCGCGGCGCCCGTTTGTAGCGCGCAACGCTGCCGGCCCGCCAGGCGGGCTCGTCTGCGCCGCGCCGGCCGCCGCGGCGGCATGACATGCCCCTGCGACGGCCGCCCAGATCCCCCCCCTGCCCAGTTCCCCTCCCGCGTCTGGCGCGCAAAGGAAAGGCGGCGGGAGGGGGGGGGCGCGGCGCCACGAACGCATCAGGTCGGCGAAAGATAAGCGTTCCCCCATGCCCTTCGCCGGCCCTTTCTTGAAATCAGGGCGCTGGCCCATCGAGAATCTGCGCCCGGAATAGTTCGCCCCGTCGGAGGTGGGGCCGAGCTTGCGCTCGCCCCTGAGCCCCCCGAGGTCCCGGATTTCGAATGCGCCCCGCAAGTGGTGCATGCGAAGACAGCTCCTAATGAGTAGCTGACCAAATGGACGGCATGATTGCGCGGATTGCGGCCGAGCTCTGTGATGGCAGACTTGCGGCCCGTGCAGGGCGCTTCGGACGCGGCGGGTCCGTTTGCCTCTCGGGCCACTTTCAGACAAACCGCGCAGACCCAGCGAGTGCGCTTCCAGCTCCATTTGCGGCACCTCGTGGGCCGCCCCGCGAGCGGAGCGCCCTTGGGGGGGCGGCGGAAGGGGGGGGCGGGGGGGGAGCTGCCCCGCCGCTCCGACGCCGGTCACAAAAGCTCACCGCCGAAGGTCCATGCCAAATTGTGACCTCCTTTCTTCGGTCGGAGCAAGTTTGTGGCAGAGCATCAATGCCTGGATAGCGCGCATGCAATATCTCCTCAGCGCGGCTTCGCCAACCCAACTCTGCTGTTCCGTCTCCGACGGCGTGGCCGGCGACGGGGCGCCTTCTTGGCGGTGCTGTCGGCCAGCTGACTTCCTATCGCTAGGTGGCATTCGTGCGTGGGCGGCGGCAGGGGTTCCAGGTCTACGTGGGCGGGGGCCTCGCGGGCCTGGAAGCCTTGATCCCAAGACGGGGCCCCTCTAATTCGCACGCCCAGCCCTGCCTGAAGGCGTTGTCCAGCTGCCGCCCTTTCCCAAGGGGTAGAGGGTAACTTCGCGACGCCGAGAAAATCGAAGTCAATGGAGATGGCGCGCGGGCAATGCTCCGTGACTGCGAGCCCTAGAGTGCGCTCGGCAGCCGGGGAGGTCCGCGGGCGCGCCCCCCCGACGGCCCCCCAGACCGCCGCGCGCAATTCCCCCGACAGGGCGCTCTCGACTACTCCCCATCCGGCCGCGCGCAACGGACGGGGGCACCCTTGAAGCGAGACCCGCGCGTGAAACGACGCCCTCGAAAGCGCGCTCGACTCGGCAGAAATCGCCTCGGCACCAATGCTGGCACGGGTTGGTCCCCGAGCCTGGCGGCGGCGCAGCCGCTGACTCGCGGGGCGACAAAAAAAACGCGCGCCAAAGGAAATTGCAGCGCTTGTCGGCGAGGATGGCGAAAACACTCGCTTGGAGCATCTGCCCCCTCAGGGGCGCTGCGTTTGGGCAGCGGCGTCGACGGCGGGAGATGCTATCCGACGGCCCCCCCGCATGTGCAGGTGGAGTCCACCGGATAGGTCGGGCAACGCAGCTGGTGGCGCGCCCGCGCGTTCGCGACGGAGCAAGCGTTGTCTGGCCGCTGTCAGATCTAGCGCGGCGCCCCGGGGCAGGCGCATTTTTCCTGCAATGGCGGCCAGCTGAACGCGGGCCCACTCACCTCGCAACTTGGCTTCAATAAACTCAGGCGAGAAAGCCGTGACTTGCCGGCGTTCGCCAGCAGGGTCGAAAAGGATGGGCGGGGCGTGAGACTGCCGGCCGTTGCGCCCGAAGGAAAGAATTGCCGTTTCAAACGGCCCCCTCGCCCCCGCCCGCGCAGACGGCGGGCCCGCCAGAACAGGCCGCGTCAACTGGGGGCGCGCAGAGGCCGGGTGGGCGCCGAGAAGCGAGAGGTCCGAGCTATATTTCCGAAGAAGTTCACGCCAGAGGAGCGCGGGGGCCAGACTTTGCCTCCAAGTAGCAGCGCAAACGAGACAGACCTGGACCCAGAGTCGCCTTTCGCGCTTACCAGCTGTAAGAATAGCGACTGGACGTCGCGAAGCTCGCGCATGTCTAAGCCAGCGACGCCGGCGCCGCGCACGCCGAATTGGTCGAGGCCCGCAGCGAAGAGCGCCGCGGCGGGCAGGGCCACCTCGAACGCGACGAGGGCGAGCGCTGCGGTTGCAAGGGCCACTGCGAGCGCGACGAGGGCGAGCGCGGCTGCTAGAAGGGCCACTGCGAGCGCTGCGGGGGCGAGTGCTGCGGCGGCTACAAGAGGGCGAGTACGACGGCGGCTGCAAGCGCTGCGGTGGCGAACGCCGCAAGGGCGACTAGCGCAGCGGGGGCGAGCATGGCGGCTGCGAGCGCTGCGGCGTCGAGCGCAGCAATGGCGAACGCGGCGGCTGCAGGCGCTGCGTCGAGCGCGGCTAGAGCGAGCGCCGAGGCGGACGCAAGGGCAACGCGCGCGGGGGCGGGGGCGGCGGCGATGAACAGCGCGGCGGCGACAGGGGCTTCGACGGGCGCGACGGGGGCGAGCGCGGCGGCTGCATGGGTCGCGTCGAGCGCGACGAGGGCACGCCCGAGCGCGAGGGCGGGCGCCGCAGCGCCCGCGTGGAAATTTCGGGCGCCGCGAGGGCAAGCGCGCGCTGCGAGGTCGAGCGCGACGAGGGCCTGAGGAACTCGATGGCGACTACGAGCACGAGTCCCTGAAGGTGAAGGTGGCGGAGATCGGCCGCCCGAGGGGTGGCCGGCACGCGCGCTTGGACAAGCCGCTGGCCCAGACGAAGGTCGACGGCGCGCTCGATCATTCCGTGGCGACCGAAAATGACATCAAATACTCGGAATGGTCGAAACGCGCGCACTTCTGCTTGTGTAGCGAGATTCACTGGCAGAGCCTCGCCACAAGCGCGGCAAGCAGCCCTGGCAATGGCGGCTCTAAGCGCCTCCACTTCCGCTCGCGCGCCGGCGCGACGCCCTCGTCGCCCAGCCCCGCCTCGCCTAGAGTGCCCCGCCTCACCTTGCCTACCTCGCCCTCGCCTAGCCCGCCTCGCCGAGCCTCCCTTCGCCTGCCCTCGCCACGCCGACCTCGTCTCGCCTCTGTCCAGCTCGCCCCCCCTTCGCCCATTGGGGGGCGCGCCGGCGCGCCGAGGCTCCGGCGCCGCGCGGCCAAACGTCGCGGCGGCGATGCGGGGGGCGCGGGGCCCGCGACAGCGACAGAGGCGTGCCGCGCCACGCCTGTCATTCGGATTCCGAGATGCGACAGATTGAATTGAAGTAACACATAAGCGGTGTTTGTTGTATCTCGGATTCCGAGATGCGTCATGTGCGTCTTATCTAGCATGGCCATATACGACAAAGCTGTCGCATCAAACACTTCCATGTGCGATGCTTGGGTCCATCGCGCGGCGTCAGGCTATCTGCTGCCCCCAGGGCGCCGGCGCTTTTTTTGCGACGTCCGCTCTTCGCAGCAGCAGCAGCAGCAGCCGACTCGCGGCTGCGAGCTCCTGCGACGCGGCGCGCATTGCGACGCAGGGCCGCGGCACTTGCAGGCCGGTAGCTGCAGACCCAACCGCGCGCCCAGCCCGCGCAACCCAACCGGCCCAGAACGACCGCCGACCCACAAACACACGGCGCGCATGCCCAGCGAGAGGCGCTATTGATAACCATCGGTAGTTCTGCGCGGGCGCGCAGCCTGGCAGAGCAGGCCGTCGCAGGCGCATGTCGATCTTTTCCCCAAGAAAAACTGTTAGCGGCGGCGGCGCCCGCCACTGCCTCGAGCCAGGGCCCGCGTGCGGGGGGCATGACACACGTCATCATCGCTGCTGCGATCCTCGTCCTGCGCCATCGTCGTTCGCCGCCGCGCCTATCCTCGCCGCCCCCCGCCTCGCCCTCATCTGCCTTATCCGCGTCGCGCCCCCCGCCCCCCTTGCGCCCCTCAACATCCTCGTCCTCGGCGCCCAGCCCCCATGCCCCTCGCGGCCCGCGCCTTGGCCCATGATGCGGCGCGTGGGGGCGCGGCTGTCTAGCCCGCGGGAGCGGCCGGGAGGCCGTCGAGAGAACGCAAGACGCATTTGAACGCGGGTGGCCAGCGCCAGTCGAAGTCGCAGGAAGCCGAGACCTGCCGCGACGCAGAGAGCCCCCCCCACATCCCGCTGCGCCGACTGGAGCTCGGGCACCCCCCCGTCGATTGGCGCGATAAACAGCGCGGCGCCGCCAGGCGCGAGGGGCGGGGCGGCGCCGGCACGGCGCGAAGGATCCTGGCAATGCTGGATCGGCGCACGCTGCCAGGATGAACCACCTCCCTTCTCGCCCGGCCACTGCCCATTGAACTATGGGGCGGTGGTATTTCTTTTTTGTTTTGCAATTTACAGATCTTCCCCTTCCAACACTTCCGCCGTCGCACCCAGCTGGGCGCGCCTGCCAGATGCATAGCTGAACGGCGTCGACCCACTGTCAGTAATGGCGCGCATTCTTTCTTCCCCCAACTGGGCGCCGTTGAGCGCGCGGGGTCGGCTGCGCGTTGAACGCGCAAGTAAGGCTCACAACTAACTCTGCTGTTAACAATGTTCTTCGCTGTCCTCCTCACGCTTTCGTTGTTGCAATTCCATGATTTTCCGTGCTCAGCACAGGCGGTGAAATCCATGGTTTGTCGGCGGGCGAGCCCCATTTCCTCCGCAACGCCTGCGGCTCTTGACTGGAGAAGAACCTTCCGACGCGCGAGTCTGTATAGATTGCTGCCCCTTTCCGCGTCATCTCGCTGCTTTTCCAATTTCGCCACCTTCCCGCGGAATGCCCTGTTCTTCATCGTTGATGATCCATTTGCATAAGTTTTCATTTATCCCCATAAGGCGGAGGCCTCGGTCGATTTCTCCAATAACTGCTTCATCTTGCTCAAGGGCAATAGAATCATCCGCCCGTGCGTCTTCCGAATCTCTTTCGCGGGCCCCCTTTTAAGCAGCATTCTAGTGGGGGCGACAACGTCGGGGGCGGGGGCGAGTCTTCGCCCTCGCCCTCTGCGCCCTCCAGATCTCACTCGAATTTGCTTCTTCGCCCCGCCCGCTCAGCTCCCAATTCCTGCTCGCCTGCGTTATTCCACTTGTCGCGCACTTCTCTGGTATCGCTCGTATCTTCCAAAGTGATATAACTGCCGCGTATGCTTCCCCGCGCGGCTCTTTTCCCTCTGGCGCTGGCTCGCAAGGGGCCCTTGGCAAATGCGACCTGGCCCGGTTGGCTAGGCGATGCTCAATGGCCATCCTGTTCCCGGAAGTTTACGCGTCCACGGGGTCGGCAACCTGCGTCTCGGAAGGTGGCCCGGCGCCGGCGTCATTGTTTGCCGCGGGCCCCTGTCTTGACTGCGCCGCTGCTACTCGCTTCTGGATGCGCGGATCGCCCTGCGGTTGCAACCGCTCGATCGCGCCCGACATGCGCTCCAAAGTGCGCGGTTCATGCGTCGTGTCTCCTCGAGCGATGGCCCAGCCCTCGCGACGTCCGAGCGCGAGCCCCGCGGCGAGCCAAGCGGCCCTGCTAACAGCGATGCCAGGAGAGATGATGGACTCGGCGTCCACACGGCCGTCGCTGTTGGAAGGTTTTACCATGGGAATGATAGCCCTCGCGATCGCCTCGCACCCTCCGCGTTGGGGCCTGGCTGCCGGGTTGGCCCTCTCACGTCGGCCACGCCCTCAATGTGCCACCTCTCCTCCTCGCATCCTTTCCAACGGAGCCCCGGGGATCTGCCCGCCCGCCGCGGCGCCCCAACTACTGCCTCCATCCTGGTCTCGCCAGCGCCGGGGGGCGCCCCATTGCTCCGCCCACTCGAGCTTTCAATCCCTTTTTTCACTTCGCGCCTTGAAGCGCACGAGGCCCCCCCCCCCCCGACATTTCGCGCAGGTTCGCTGATTTTCCCCCGCTGCGTCTGTCGCGGGCGGTTTCGCCATGGGCCCCCGTGGCGAGTTTTACTATCACGCGCGACGCATGCGCGATTAATACATGGATCATCGCGCGATGCCCCCCGCAATTATGTTCTGCATGCGTCGCCCAGCGCGCTCTTCATTCTCATCGCTTGGCCGCGCGCATTTCGCATGGCTCCCCCGATGCCCCCGGTGGCGCGAGAAACTCCAACTGGGCTAACTTCAACTGCCAGGCTCATGCCGCGCACCTCTCGATGTACCTCCTGTAATCCTGCGTTTTGTCAGCTTGCCGTCGCTTTCCAATGTGACCCCCTGGCTGCCCGCGCGCGATATCGTGCCCGTCATGGCTGCGGTCGAACTTGGGTCTAGCTCCTTGTTCAGCGCCGCTCGGCTCCGATTTGCCGCGGCGTCTCCGCCGCGCGCGACAATCATCGCATGCCCCTTCTACGCGCTAACCGCGCGCGTCGGCGGAGATGACGGGCGACTCCGTGGTCGACTCGCGTTATTGCCTAGCGTGACTACGTCATCGCGTCAGCCCCTTAAAGCAGCGGGGGGCGTCGGCTTCGGCGGGGTAAGTGGGTCGCGCTGCGCATCTCCTCCACCGCTCGGCAATAGGTCTCGCTGCGCCTTCTTCGGTAACTCGGCCTCCGCCGTAACGCGCGCGCCCTCTACTTCGCGCGACTCGCTGCCCCCCCCCCCCCCCCCGCGCCCCCGTCGCCGTCTACCCCTGAGATAATTCGCTTGCGATTGGGGCCCGCGGGTCTCGGAGAACTCAATGACACGCGTCCTCCGCGGGGATCCCCCGCTTCGGAAATCCCCCACCCCCCGCTTGCGAGTTCCCCAAACGTCCCCGAATTTCCTGACACCCACGTGCCAACGGGGACTTTTGTAAATCAAATCGGAACGTGTTTTTCTCTTTCGCGCGGCGCTGCCGCCTGTCCTGTTGCCGCGATTTCCATGCGACTGCAAGGCCGTCTCTCCTCGTCAACCCAGGGCAACTCCATTGCCCGCTTCCACCATAGCACCTGTTCGACGTCGGCCACCTGCGTCGGCATGCTAACTCGCGCCTCCTGCTCGTCACTGCCGAGCGAGCGCGCTCTGCGCGTAATTTCTGATAGCCGCGCCGTTGGCAGCGCTGCAATGTCAGCCCGCGGCGCCCCCGAGCCCAGGGTGGCCACTTCTGTCTCGCGGGGCCCGATGACTTCCTCATTGGGGGCCGCGCTAACCTCTGTGGCCCCAGGTGCCTCTACTAACTGCGGTACTTCAGCATACTCCTGCTGCAAAATCTTCTCGGCTCGCCGGCTTGATAGGGGCACCCAAGGCGCCGGCCCTCTCGCCCTTGCACGCGGCATCCCCCGCCCACCCTCATCCGACGGCTCACGTTCCTCACCCGGCACCGCTGCGCCCGCCCCCCATGCCCAAGAGGCTCTGCGGGGGGCCCACTCCGCTGCGCCCTGGCTTGGTCTGACCGAAGGAGGCGCCCTGGGTTCCGCTTGAACGCCCGAGATTCCCCATCGCAGATTTTGCATATTGAATTTGTTCCACCTCGTCTTTTCCTTTTCCGGCACACTGCGCCGCCGCGCCTTCCCCTCGCGCTTGCAACGACCTGCTTCACTTAGGGGCGCGACTCCTCCTGCGGGCCAATTGCCCGGCCCCCTTTCCCCCGTGTCCACTGCGACCTCCCCCTTTGCCCTGGCCGGCCCCTCGGGCGCCCTCGCCGCGCGTCATCTGCCCCCCTCTGCCTCCGCCATCCCCCGCGCCGCCCTCGCCCCCGCCCGCCCAGCGCATTGCGTCGGCGTGTCCGAAGTTGTCGCGCATGTGACATTCGAGCCCTCGTCCTCCTTCACTCTTATACTGGATAACTGCATCCGCCCCCGCTCCTCCATTGCGCTCGCCCTCGCAGCTCCGCTCTGCGTTGTTGGGCCACCAATGACCGCCATCGTCCGCGTAAGCTTCTGCGCTCCAACCACGATGTGAACCCAAATCCCAAGAGGGGGTCCTGGCCCTCGCCGCTGGCTCCTCCAACGCCCACGGCGTCGCGGCTTCTGCGTCGGCGCCTAAACGTTCTTTCAAACGCAGTCTTCGAATTGACGCCAGACTGTTGGGATTTGTTCAGCGAGCCTGGCGTCTCGAAGCAATCCCGGTGCCAGCCCTCGAGCCAGTTCCCATGGTGCAGCGTTGCGGAACGGCAGATTTAACGAATATGCTTGACCATGTGTTTCCAGCGCCTCTGCAAGCGCGGTCCACTGCTCTCACTTGGTGGCCACCTATCCGATATTATTGGGCTTGTCTGGGTTCGTGGTCTGGCTCATATGGGCTGACAAGGCGCCCGGCGCATCTTCTTCTTAGAGCCCATTGGGAATTCCCCTGGGCTCCACTCCTTCTGACCCGTCGTCTACTTTGTTCCACGTGTCCTCATCCAATGTGCGAGCAATTTCCGCCGTTATGTCGAAGTCCCCTTCGTCGTCATCCTCCTGTTGTTTTATGAAGTGAGTCTTGGCGCACCCGGGCGCAAGTAAACGGCTATTGATGATATTGGGCGTGTCGCCATCATCTTCGTCTTGCAGTGCGCCGTTACGGTATCGAGCTTATCGCTCAATCGTCTGAACGTTTTCCACAAGTTTGGGCTCACCTGCGCCAGTGCGTCTAGCAATTTCTCGTACCATTCCCGAAGTGAGCTCGCTCACCACAACAAATGTTTAAGTGCCGCGCGGGCGTATGGTCACCAACTGGTTTCTGTGCCCTTCGATGTGCCCCTGCTTTCAGCAACATTGGTTCGGCTACTTATGTGATCGGCTCCATGGTGTGATGTTGAACGTCTGCTCGAATCTCGGAACTCTCGATTCTTAGCTGGGGCGTAATTGATTTCCCTCTTGCGTGCACTTGCGGTTTGCCACTCGACGAACTCATTCATACCTCATGTTTCGCCCTCTGCGCTATTTTAACATAGTTGTAGCCTCCATCTTAACAGGCTGTTTAACATAGTTCGCTGAAACTCGACGGGTTGAGATTGAACCTTTGATCTCGACCTTGACTTGCGTTGGACTCTGGGAGCGGGTCCCCAGGATGGGAAGGCGCATGCGGCTCCAGCAGCCATTAACCCCGCTCCGCCACCATGCAAATACCAGAGGACTTGCACGGGAACGATCTAATGGTAATAGCGGCGTTGTTGTGCTCAGGCGACGCGCGAACTCCACAAATGATGTTTTTTGCCAAACAGTACCGTCAGCTGACAGCTGCTGGGCCGACACATGTTGCCACGCTCCTCACCCAGTCGCGGAGCAATCTAGTAACACATCCTGTCTCTCCTCCTCCTGCTCAAAATCGACCCCCGCACCTCCCAAGGGGTGCGGTCTGGCCAAGATCAACCGCCGAGGGCCCAAGAAGGAGGAACCGGCTCGAACCTCGGACCCCGGGCCGCAGAACCTCCTGCGGAAACCCGAAGGGAGGGCCCCCTGGGGAGAGGGGGGGTGGGAACGGGGTGCCAGCGCCTGGCTCGGCCGTCTCGCGTCCGCGAAGCGCACCTCCCTCACGGCCTGCGGCGGGGCCCAAGCACGAGAGGGATAGGGAGAGGGAGAGAGAGGGAGAGAGAGAGAGAGAGGGAAAGATGGGAAAACTAATCAGGGACGTACACAAGCTATCTGCAAGGTGTGGCATTGTCCACTGGTTCAGCCAGGACGGATGAACCTGCGCAAGAGCATGGTTCCCCCTCTGCGACCTCCATGGGGGACGTGTGCAGTGGGCGCCCCCAGAAAACTACACGAGGCGGCACCGAAGACTTGTCAATGGCATGTGTAAGACGTCGTTCCGCTGGAGTTCCCATGAGGTGGCACCACTGGCGATGTTTGCGCTGTTGGCAACTCCCCAATGCAAGTAGATGTAACCTGGGTCCGTTTAGCGCCGCCCTCGGATGGACCTTCCAGAAGCTCACGAAAACGCCAACAGTTGCGCTGACGACAACACCCAGGGAGCGGAGTAATCCGCCACCGTGTCCCCTCGCATGTCGAGGTGTGCTGGAATGGCAAGCGCTGTCTGCTAGGGTTTCTGTGATCGTCTAGAGACCCCCCTCTCGTCACCCTGGGCCGCGCGCATCGGGCCCTCTCCCGAGGCCACAACCCCTCGCAAAATACAATCGGTTGCGCTCCCAAGGCCAAGATGCTTCCAAGACGGCTCAATACGGATACGGCCCACTAATGCCGCCAGGCGGCTCAAAATTGCCGCCCGACGGCCCAGGAGGCCGTCGAGGCGCCGCCAGAGAACCCCAAGAACACGTTTGCCATATGCCTTTCACGTTGAGGGGATTCCCCAAGGACGGCACATGTATGCATGTATGCATGTATGCATGCATGTATGTATGTATATACATTTATGTGCAGATGCATATATACATATATGAATATAGTTGAGTTGTGTGTATATGTACAATGCGTGTTTTGCCCGTCGCCGCCTTGGCTCAAGGCGGCGCTGCCCATTCTGCCTGCGTCACCTGCGACGTATAACTGATGTGCGGCGGCCCGGGAAGAGAAAAGGCTTCCCCTCCCCGTGCTGCCACCACCGCCATCGTACCCGTCACTTCCACATACTTCCAATATGAGGTGGCGGCCCTGCGACCCTTGTTCAAACTTGGTAGCGGAACTGTCGCACCCGCGGCAGCTATGCTCGCTTCCTCCCTTGGCGTGATGACGTTTGTCATCTCGAGGACAAGAGCATAGTGGATGCCTCCCTGGACGTCTACCTCATTTGCACCAAACACAACTCTACCACAACGACCCCACCTACAACAACCCGGGTCATACGCGCGCAAGGAGACTCGACCGCGTTACCGAAGGCCTTCCCTTCTCCGACGTCTCCCTGCACAATTTGTTCCACGTCAACACCATCAAAGTCTACAAGCGCGCGAGGAGAATCGACTGGTATTCCAACCACCTCGACCTCGACCACAACTTGTCCGCCCATAACATTGACCCCGCACTTCGCCGAGATCGAGGAGCGCCAACTGGCGAACCTCTCTCCACTTCCAGCTGCTCGTGGACCCACGACTGGCTACTCCACTAAAACTACTACATCCAACGTCTTCTCCATCTGCCTCCACTAGATGAGCCTCGTCATCTATGGGCTCGTGGCCATCGCCATTCGCGTCATCATCGGCCACATGATGAGAGCCCCAGGGCGTTCAGACGAAAGGTCCCACGAGAAGTACACGAATGGCTCAATGTCCTTTCTGGCCGTATGACGTCATCCAAACAGGCGGCTGCCATACAGCGAGACCTCCACGGCCTAGCTCGCAACTTTGCCATGAGTACCCCGTCGGGCGTGATCAACTTCGGGGCCAAAGTCAACGAAGTAAGACCTGCTGTGTTAAAACGCGCAGGAACTCGAGAGTTTAGCGCCAACTGCAGCAGGGACTGGAGCTGATGTACTCCAGAGTGCATACCAGCGAGCGAATCGACAGCGTTCTTGCACGATGGGAGATTGCTCGTATGGAAGCAGATATAGCAAATTTCGGTCTAGACAACTGTTTGCGACTTTAGTCAGAACCCCACGAATTCCTCTACACGAAATATCTTCGCTCCTCCAACTGCTCCTGAATGGCATGATGCCACGTACCCGGCAAGAATGCGACCAACTGCTGGAGGCGATCCGACGACGACGACACATCGTCGAGCGCATGCCGGGCAACATCGCCCAGTTCATGGGCGTCCCATGCAGGAGCGACGTACACCTCACAGACACTGCATTCTTGCTGGGAGGTGATTCCCAAGCAGGTGAAAAAGCCCAGCCAGGTGCCCCAACAACAAGATGATAGACCAACAGGCCATACGGCACCCGAGCCGCTCAAGGAATTCAGAACGCCTGCACCACCTGCGGCAGCAACAGCACCACCAACAGCCAAAGCTGCAACCCTATGGGGAAATCCTACAGAAGAGGACGACAGCAACACCGATTCCGACACGATATCCTCCGCTTAGGAAACGAAAAGCACCTGGGACGACCTTGCAACTATCTAAACTGAGCATGCACAATAATCATATCTAAGCAACTCGTGCCACAATGACCGCTGGAGACGCAACATGCGACAACCTGTACGACGCGTTCGCATGTACATCAACCAGACCGTGAAAGGTAAGGGTAAACGTGGACGGGAACGCCGCCGACGACTTATGGGCAAAGGCATTCAGACCTACGTCGCAGCCCTCGGCGACAACGCCTACTAGAAGCTGTTCTTTGTAGGCCGTTTCAAGGGCTGCGGCAACGGTGAAGGGCGACGTTCATCAAGAAAGGGCAAAGGCCGACGTCAAAACCCTACTGGCAAACGCGACCAGGTCATGGCATGCCACAATTGCGGTTCCACATGGCATCTCGTTCGAGATTGTCCGCAGTCACCTGGACAAGGAACCCCCTCGGAGAGCACGAAGCTCACTGGCACGGTTGGATACATTGAACTACCTGAATACGATGCATAGGAGCAGCTTTACTTCGTAGAGGCAGCAGAGCAATACCTCGACCTGATATCCGGGAACGAGATGTAACAATACAATTATGAGCAGCAGCGCTGCGTCATTGGCTGGCTCATGAAAACACAACGCCAGCATCACGAATCAGGCAACGCCGAAGCACTACCCCCACCATCCATGACACTTGATATTTAACATGCGAACGCATCATCATCACAACCACTATTGGGCAACTTCAAGTCTACCGACCCACGCGCACCACCACCTGGCGACAACATCGAGGTGGTGACATGCACTCTCCTGGTATATGGCTACCGGTACAACACCCATGGGTCGCAATACTGGAAAGCAGACACCTGCCATACATAACGAACAGCTCTCTGATGAGCTTAGACGCTGACGCAGCAGAACATGGAACATACAAGTCATGGTTTATCGGATAGTAGTCCAGGGACCCGTCTGGGCAGGATGGCGGCCAGAGAGGGGTGAGGAGAAGCGCGAGGCGAGAGCATAAGGCCGATTATAACCACTTCGGGCCGTTCACGAATTGCTTGGGCCGGATTCCAACCACCGAACAAGGCGCCGATCGCAACGTGAAAGGTTCCTGTATGCATTCTAAAAGACTGACACCGGATTACAACACGATTACAACCTCTGAAGCGCTTCCCACGAGCTTCTGAGCGCCTCTGAACCGCCTCTGACACGCCTATGCAGCGTTTTGGGGGTGCTTCTGAAGAGCTTCTGGTCAGCTCATCAGGAGCTTCTGAAGAGCGTCCGAGCAGTTTCTGAGGAGTGTTTGCAGAGCTTCCGAGGAGCGTCCGGGCAACTTCTGAGGAGCTTCTGAGGCGCTTCAGAGAAGCTTCTGAAGAGGAGGAGGAACACTACGAAAACGCGGAGGGGGGGGAGGATGCGAACGACGAAGACAAGGACTTCCTTTTACTACTGCTATGACAACTTCATGTCACAACAACAACTACGACTGTTGCTACTACGACTACGACTACGACTACGACTACTACTACTACTACTACTACTACTACTACCGCTATCACTCGTACGAGTACTGTTACTGATACATTGTGCATACACTATGACCACTACTGCTACTACTACTACTGCTACTACTACTACTACTACTACTACTACTACTACTAGCACTACTATTACTACTACTACTACTACTGCTACTACTACTACTACTACTACTTCTACTACTACTACAACTACTACTACTACTACTACTACTACTACTACTACTACTACTACTACTACGACTACGACTACTACTACTACTACTACTACGACTACTACTACTACTACTACTACTACTACTTCTACTACTACTATTACTACTACTACTACGACTACCATTACTACAGCTGCAACTACTACGCGCACTAGTAATAGTATTCGTACTAGTACGAGCACTGGTACTACTACTACTACCACCACTACTACTACTACTACTAATACTACTACTACTACTACGACTACTACTACTACTACTACTACTACGACTACTACCACTGCTAAGACTACGACTGTAACGCTTACTACTACGACTGCTACGATTACCATTAATACTGCTGCGACTACTACCCTTACTCGTACTCGTACTCGTACTAGTAGTACTACTACTACTACTACTACTACTACTACTACTACTACTAGTACTACTAGTTACTACTACTACTACTACTAGTACTACTACTACTACTACCTCACTACTACTACTACTACTACTCCTGCTATTACTACTACTACTACTACTACTACGACTACTACTACTACTACTACTACTACTATTACTACTTCCACTACTACTACTACTACTACTACTACTACTGCTGCTACTACTTCTACTACTACTACTACTACTACTACGACTACTACTACTACTACTACTACTACTACTACTACTACTACTACTACTACTACTACGACTACTACGACTACTACTACTACTACTACTACTTCTACTACTACTACTACTACTACTACTACTACTACTACTACCACTGATGCTACTAGTAGTGCGGCTATTACTACGGCGACGACGACGACGACGACGACGACTACTC